GGGCTCTTTGCCAATCAAGGCATTTACCTAGCTCATTCCTTTCCCCCCCCCCCCAAACCAATGTTACCATTTGTTTCAGACACATTTTGCCAGGTTGCCCCATTGAACCCCCCCTCCCCCAAAGTGCCGCAGGTGGAGAAGGAGGAGCGCCGGAAGCGCGCGGAGCAGCGCAGGCGCGGACAGTGCCGGGCTGGTGGGAGCACCACATGGTCCGGGACTTGGATTTGGGGGCCCTGGAGAGTTGACGGCGGGTGGGTTGCTCGGGTTGGGTTGGGTTGGGTTGGGTTGGGTTGGCGAGTTGGGTTTGCTTCAGCCTTGTTGGGCATAGGCCTAGGTTTGTAACTTTATGATGATCATACTCAACAAAGATGAATGGCATAGAGCCATATTGCAAGTCTTGAATCCGTGTTGGTGAGGAACAAGTAGCTTTACTTGGAGGTGAGTGGAGGAACTTGAGGGTTTCCTGTCGGCTCATGTTGGGTATAGTGTATGTTAATCCACTGCGGCTTTGGAATGGGTTCACTGTTCGCCGCCACAAACAAAAATGTGATTGCCCGGAGTTTTGTGGTCTCTCGTGCAGGAAGGACATCAAAGAGAAGGCGGAGTCTCTGGCAGCACTTGGCAAACTTCAATAATCTGAGCAAATTACGCCAGAGGTAAAATGTCGCAATTCCCTGAATGTGGGGAAGCAAAGGGGACGGCAAAACAAAACTGGGGGAACTGCGCCGTCTACTTTCACCCAACTGTATACCCCTTAAAGCTATTGTTAAAAACCACCCACCATCCCCTGAGATAATGCCTCAAAGCATGGTTGGTGGACAATTGAGCAGCACCCAAAACTCCCATTGGCCATTGGGTTTTAGGCCACTTTCTGTGAGTGGCCAAGGTAATCCCCTTCAATTCACCTGGCAAGCTAGTTATGTGGATGGAACCAACCCGAAAACGATATCACAGAAGGGGGGACTCCATTGGACACAACCATCTTCCAAAGCGGTTTTACATGGAAAGAAACACAAGTTGATGTTCAACATATCAATCAAGGTAGTCGTATGGGAATCCCATTTTGTGCCACCCATACCAGCCAATCTACTTTAGCAAGACCGACCCTCATGTCCGGAGGGGTGGAACCTTACGGGTTTCAACTCTGGAACCTTCGAGTTTCAACACTAGTGGTTGAAAGCAAAGAGACCTTTCAGGATGTTGAACGCTGGTAAAAAAAAGGTTGAACGAACGATCTCACCTGCCCTCTTTGGTATCCAAGGGAATCCCGTCTATCGTGACAACCGCTAATGTAGAACCCCCAGAAGTCCCTTGCTTGTGAGAAGTGCGTGGGAGGGTAGTCATGGGGATGGGTCTCACCGGTTTAGGGGAGCCACGAACTTTGGTATTACTTTCTGTGATACCAAGGGAATCATCTTGAGAAGCTAGCCCTGGACATCCCACCTTGGTCTCAACTGCTTCGAGTTGATAAAAATCCTTAGGTAAAACACTGGTGGTCACATCAACCCATTGATTTAAGGTCAGGGAATCCCTCGGCAAAACTTTGGTCTCCCCTCTAACGGGAGGTTTTTTGCGGGTACCCTCTTCGGGGTCGGTTTAAAGGGCAACCAAACGGCCCTCCCCCATTTTCATGTTGGGGGTCTATTTGTCAATTTTATTACAAGCTCAGCTAGTCATAGGGATGGGTCTATCCTCCACAAGCTCACCCTTTTAGGTGATGTAGCCACCAGGGAATCAATTTGTTATCGGTAAGGTGGCAGCCACGCACGCTCTCTTTGTTTCTTGTTGGGATCTCCAAATCACTTTGCCTGTTTGCTAGCCACGACGGGCATCATGCAAGGGGCAGACAAGAATGCTAATATGATGTTCCAAAGGGGTCATGACCCCAATTTGGTTTCATGCCAGCCTGGCACCCCACCCCTCCTCTTCCAATTCTGTGAGCTTTTGATGGCACCCCACCCCCCTCTCCTAATTCAAGCCCTTGAGCCCTTGAGCCCTTGAGCCGGTCCTTTGAGCCCTTCACCTCGACTTCATGACACCCCACCGCCCTCCTTCCATTCTGGGGAGCCCCTGGTCACGTTGGCCCCTTCGTCTGGAACGTGGTGACCTTGGTCCTTTGAGCCCTTGACCCCACCCCCATCAGTTCCTTGGCCCTTTGGTCACCTTGGCCCTTTCGTCCACTTCGAGCCCTTGGTCCCTTGCGCATATATCATATGTACACACATAGTATATATATATATATATATCCACCTGGGGGGGTGATCAATATTCTCACCCCCAAATGACTATGGCTAACTTTCGCATGTGGGGTACATCATCTTTTTTGCGGTCCCTCCCGTGCACCCTGGGGCACCCGGCCGAGGAGCTCGCGAAGAAGGCCTTCGCGGCGGGCCTGTCCCCGGCGGCCGCCGCCTCGGCGGCGGCCTCGGCCCAGGCGGCGCAGGAGTCCACGCCGGAGGCGCAGCTCACTGTGGCTGTGCTGGGCCACCAAGGCGCTTGAGGGGGGGGAGGGGGAAAAAAAAAGGTGGTGGGAGTGGGGGGATGGGGGTGTTGTGGGGGGTGGGTGGGGTGGATGGGGGTGGGGTGGATGGGGGTGGGGTGGGGCATGTTGTGGGGGGGGGTTGGGGAGGATGGTTGTGAGAGTGGGGAGGGGATGGTTTTTAGTGGACAAATCGGCCTCTCTGTTTCAGATGTTGGAGGTTTTCGGCGGCATGTGGGGAGGTGCGGAGGGTTTGCCTGATAGACACCCTGGGTTGGGTTGAGACTTTCTCCCAACAAAGGGGTTGTGCTACTCATCTTGCAAACGCCGGGGAAAATTGGGGAACTATGTTCTGCTGGCCCAAGCTCAACCTTTGGAGCTGAAAAAGCCGCGCGCTCCGCTTCCTTGTCAGAACCCGCCGGCACCCGCCCGGGAGGCTCGGGGAAGACGACTTTGGTGGGGGCCCTGATGCTGGCCACGGGCCTCTTGAGCGAGCGTGACCTGGTGAAGCGGCAGAAGGCAGGTTGGAGGGGGTGGGGTGGGGTTGGGGGGGGTGGGGTGGGGTTGGGGGGGGTGGGGTTGTGGGGGGTGGGGGAAAAATAGTAAAAGGAGAATTCAAAGAATTATTCTTTCTACTATTTTTTTCCAACAGCAACACAACAAACAGAAAACAAAATCCAGAACAACAAGCAAACAAAATAAATAATCACAACCACCAACAAAAATATTTAATCACAGCATGCAACATTAAATAATTCAAACAAGCATACCAACAAAACAGCAACACTCTAAATCATCAAAGAACCCAAACTCAAAAACACACATCAACAAAAATCAAAGCAACATACCAACAAAAAATATCGCAAGAGTATCAAACAAAACAAAAACAAACAGCCAAAGCACGAAACAATTGAAGAAGCATGCCAAGTCTAAACAACGCACTTTGAAAGAGATAAGCAAATTATAATAATTCAATCTTTACAAACGATAAATATATTACAATTATAACATATAATAGTTTACATGTGATAATCCTAGTATGATTATAATTTCAGTACAGGATAATAATTTAATTGATTTGTCTTACTTCTTTCATACATCATTTTTAAAAATAATATTAATATCTCTCAATGTATTTTGAACATTAAAATTTTTACTTTCAATAAATAATTTGATATTTTCTTTAACATCTTCTCCTTTCTCTTGACTATAACACAACATCCTTAATATATCATCAATCATACCATATTTTTTCTTAGGGATTTTAAGAAACTGTTTAATATAATCGTAAGGCGGTATTTTATTTACAGCTAGAAATATTAAAATCTCATCTTCTACATTTCTATTATGTCTCCCTTTTATTCTCAACAGACATTTGATTAAAACTTGATTATCTCTCCATTCCTGACAAATTTTACATTCATCTTCTTCATCCATTGAATAATTAATAATATTATTCAATATTTTATTAGGTAAATTTAATTTATACAGTTCCATATTTTCTTTTTTGAAGTGACAACAATCATAGCATTTTTTATTGATATAATTATTGATTTTATCACCGTTCATTTTCCTCTTATTATATTAAGGCACTATTTCTTTAAGTCATTTTTAAGGCATTAATAAAAATTAAGAAACTAACCATAAGTATAGTATAATAATAGCATATAATATTTTACATGTTATAATTATATTTCAATTAAGAATTAAGGATTTAAGATAACAGTCAGGCAATATGTCTTCAAATATGTAATCTACATATTTATCAATATCACCAATGTCTATATATTTGATATTGTCTTTTCCTATTATTGAATAAATATATTCCCAAAAGAATAAATACAGCAATAGACATACTTTATATTTAGTGTTATAGTAATACCATACATGATATTTAGTTATTCTAAATTCATTCAAGACCTTGTTTATTTTATCTTTGCTTAATAAATGCCAATCAATCTCTTCAAACAAATCACGAAATTCTTTAGCAAATGATTTATATGGTTTAATGCTTAGTTCTCCTCCAAACCTTTTAATCAAATCTTTATTATTAAAAAACTCATCAAGTTCTTTTTCAAATGACTCTCTATCAATTTTATGGTAAAACCATACAGGAAATCGTTTTTGATATCTCATAAAGAATTTCAATTTTAATTGAAACTTTGTATATCCCATATCCTTATATTCTTCAACAAACAACTTTTCAAGGTCTCTTGTTATACAGCATTGATTACAATATACATCATATTCACTTATTTTATTACACAGATTATCAGGTAATAAGTTATACAATGTAAAATTAATATCATTCTTTTTATTATTACAACATTCACACTTACTATAATTAAACAGTGTCATTTTTCCTCTTAATATATTAAGTCAATATTTCTTTAAGTCGTTTTCAAAGAATTTATTTTATAATGGCCATAAGCAAGTGAGTTTACACTATCTGTCCAATATTTTTTGTTTTCATAACTACTAAGAGCAATTTTTTAGTTGTTATACTAAAAATTCTGTGGTTTTTACTTCTAATACTATTAAATGACTTATGTATAACCTCATTAGTTTTTAAAACCGTCTCAAACTCTTCATATTTCATTTGACGTCTTACTGTGCCTATTGCTATGCCCTTACATTTCTTATATTTTTTATCATCACCATAAACTGAGTAAGCATAGCATTTAGGACGAAGAGCTATAAACCCTGTTATTAATTTACTTTTTAATTCATCCTTAAATTTACCTAATACTTTCTTGTTATTATCATCATAACATTTATGTTCCTTAGGATAATCTGAAAAATCTAATTCTTGTTTAATTGTATTAAGGTCTTCATAAATGTCATTGGTTTTAGTATGAAATACAAAACTATCAGTATCAGTATATACCATTTTAATATTATCTCCATATTTAGGCTTCATAACGTCATAATAAAATTTATACATGTGCTGCTTACTCAAATCTAAAATACTCATCCCAATAAATATAGGGTTGTCTAGTTTCAACTTTGTTTTTTGCTTTTCAACTCCAACCAAATTTTCATTAATGATATGACTATGTTTGAAGTTAGGATTACTTACACACTTCATATATCTAGTTTCATCACTCACAACTTCAAAGTCTAAATGTTTTCGCTTATCCTCCATTGTTTTTCCAAATATGGCATTGTTCATCAATTTGTAAACATCTTTCTCAAAATCATTTCTAGCATTCTTCCTCTTCTCAGTGTTAAACACAATGTAAGGTTTTAAAACTTCTTTTTGTTCAAATTTAATTGCTCTATGAATTTTCTTAAGTTTTAACCCTTGCTTCAAATAAAATTGTAAGGTTCTTATATGGATTACATATTTTTCTTTATCATTTAAATTCAATACTAATTTATTTGTTTTCTCATCCGTAGGTTTTTTATGATTTAAAAATTCATAAATTTCAATTTTTTTATCTGACAGCATGTCGGCTTTAACATTCATAACCTCAGGTGCCATTGGATAGTCATTGTGTAAATCGTGTAATTCTTTAGGATATTCTAAATCCACTTCTAGAATATATCCAATATTATTATTCTTATAATTAATAATGTCTTCTTCTTTTAATGTATCATCCCATTTTAGATTTTTATATGGCAGTTTTTGTATCATGCTTAACCCATACAAATTATTAGCATCAAAATAGTTAATATAACTAATTGCTTTATTTTTATCATATTCTTCTCCCATGTATTTATTATTTGCTTCAACTTTTTTAGTAGAAACCATACACATCCCGCCTCTAAGTCCCGCTTCTATCATTTCATACATTTCTTGGTCATATATTAAATCAATCTCTACACCAGTCATTTAAGCATAGCATCAAAAGCAAAGTTAGGCAATGTATAATAATAAGCAGGGTCCAATCCATAATATTTCATACACACATCTCTAAAATTTTCGAAAATGTCAGTCAATAATAATACATCAGTTTTCAAATATAAATCATGGTATTCACCCATATTCTTAATGTCAAAATGCTTCCATATAATTTTTGCCCTTTCATAGTCGTTAACACTTATACCTTCTTCACTCAACTGACTATAAAAGTCATCCTTACTCGGTAATTGCTCATCATGAAATTTATCAAATGAATTCATGTAGTCATAAGGATAAACGCCTTTATCAGTCAGCAAATCTAGACATTTCTCACTCTTAATCACATCATTTTTACTACTGAACCTAAAATTATCTTTCCAGTTTTCACGCAATAACCATTTACTTTTATCTTCTTCATCTGTATTGTCATACTTACTCATTGAAACTAACTTATCTACTGAAGCAGTTAAAAACCCAAAAGTGTCTTTAACACTCAAACTTTCAAAACTGATATTAATAAATTTTTCACTGTTCTGAGCGATGACACCTATTTTATTGTTGTTACTTAATTTATCCGCATTTTGAATAATTAAATGACCATCATAATTTTTCATGTTATGGAAGAATACAGGAATTCTAAAATATCTATTACAAAAATTAAGATTGCAAACATTATGAGCACAACCCCAAAATTAGTTGTAAAATGACAATGGTCTCTAACTTTTCTATATTTCTCTGCTTCCTTGGCATTCTTATAGTTCATTCTAAACTTGTTTCGCGAAGCTGACGCATCGCTCAAGCGAAATGCGTTTTCACAAATAAAGCAGTTTTTAGCATTTTTAAAATATTCTTTGTCTTCGTCAGTCATGTCTATTTTTTCGTTTTCTCCCATGTTCTCCTTTACTGCCCTAATGTCATTAAGTTTTTGACAAAACACATCAACAGCATCTTTACCACGATACATAAATTCATAATTTGTATTATCAACAGCATTAACCATATTAAGCATAAAACCCCATGGTTTATGCTCTTGATAAGAAAAAGTGTTTTTATCTTCATCTTCATCAGGCTTTTTCAGTTCCTCTGTCAAACATTCAAAATCAGCATATACAACAAAATGACACCTTAACTTTTTGAAGTGATGCTTAAAACTAACTTTCTCATAAGGCTTAGGCAT